AGTGGGTCGACCTCCTTGGGCAGAACCTGGAAGAACTCTTGTTTGAAATTCTTGTAAGACTGGGAGTAAAGAGAAAACAGCCCCCAGCCTTACTCCCATTCAAAGACACCCAATTAGGAGGTACGCCCAATTTCAGTTGATAAAAATGAAGGAAAACAGGCAGAGACAACCCTATCCCTAGGGTCGAGCACAGGACTTGAAAAGCCCTCAAAAAACCCCAACTATTGGGGTGCAACTGACAAGGAGCCGAGTTGACAAAATTCAAAAAATCGCATGCAAATTGGGTAAAGGGAAGGCATACCCCTAAAACCCTAAAGCAACATTGGTACATGTAGAAAAAAGGAGGATTCGAAGTACCCCCCATATATACACGCTCGTCAGGCTGACAAGGTTCAAGCCAGATGAGCTTAGAGATGGACGATTGGCAGATCCTGTGCGATTTCCACATCACATTGATCTCCAAGAACGACTTAAAGACGCTCTGGAACTCTCCGACGTCACCCCTGACCCACTCATAGCCAGAGATGATGGGGAAGGGTTCCCTGGGTTGGTTCCCCCCCTTTTTCTTTTCAGCAGCGGTCGTCTCGACGGCCACTGCCTTGCCGCGCGCCTTGCCCTTACCCTTGGCCAGAGCAGAGGGGGCGGCGCCGCTATCACCAGCCATCGAAAGGTAAAAAGACTCAAGGAAGAAGGAAGGTGAAGAGGAAGAATGACAAGAGAAGACAAAGAGAACGAAGTACCTGGTACTCCTTTGGTAATGACAGAATAGTGGAAATACGGGGACTTGATTGCCGTCGGAGACCCGATTTCCAGTAACGGTGACGACGGAGAAGAGCAGAGATGAGGGAAGAAGACCAAGAGTGGGCAAAGGGGGTTGAAACGTCGAGAGGAAGCTAAGAAAGAAAAGGAATGAAAAGAGTAAAGTGAAGAGGAGAGGGCGCGAGAGAAAGAGAAAAGGGGTTTTAAGTAATTTGTGACGGAAAATTTATTAGTTAGTGACGGAAAATTTATTAGTAGTGACGGCATATTTCCGTCACTAATTGTGAATGACTGAATTTTTCCGTCACTAAATATTTTGTGACGCCATTTTTTGTGACGACCCAAAATCCGTCACAAATTCCGTCACTAATAATTTTGTGATGGATTTTCTTTAATTTTGTGACGGATTCTTTCCGTCTCTAATTTTCATTTTTCTAGTAGTATACTACAAAAGCATGTTATCTATTACATGGTTTTTCAATTGATCATCCTTGCCGTCGAGCCAATCTTAGTCAACATGAGGTTCATTCTAACACCTCTTAGCTTCTAGACTATAGAGCATCTCACCATGTGACCAATGACATAAGTCATCTTTCAATCTCCAATGATTACACTAACCAGATCAACTTTATATTGCCAATGGTAAAGGTATTTCCATTACACATCACAACTCAACTGATCTACCCTAACCCTACCATTCCCTTTCATCTTTCCAATATCTTACATGTGTCCCTCTGTCACCCAAAATCTAATTTTAGTTTCTCAATTATGCAAAACTAACTTTGTATCTGTTGAATAAAGATGTGGCACTACAATCTTTGTCATCCTCACCTTCAAGTCCTCAAGCATACCTTTCCTTCCAATTGTGTCTCAATGCCTCTCACATGTTTAGAATGTTTATCCAATAAAAGTCATCAACTTCTTTTTTTCAACACTACGTTATCCAGTAATAAACCTCTTAAAATTATTTTCTCTAATGTATGGGGTCCTTTCTCAATCGAATCAATAAATGGAGCTTTTTATTGCAGTCTCTTTATTGATCATTTCTCTAAATATGTATGACTATATCCAATAGTTAAAATTTGATACTTCATTAAATTTTCGCACCTTTAAATCCCTCTTGTTGAAAACCAATTTGAAAGGAAAATCAAAACACTATATAATGATAATGGTGGAAAATTCATTAAACTAAAACCTTTCCTTCAAAAACATGAAATTTCTTACTTTACCACCCCACACTATACACACCCCAACATAACGGCTTATCCGAATGTAGATATCGTCACCTTGTTGAAACTGCTTGTGCACTCCTTTACCATACATCATTACCATTAACTTTTTGGTCCTATGTTTTATAAATTGCCACTTACTTAATAAACCGAAGGCCCAAACTTGTCCTCAAAATGCAATCTCCCTTTGAAATTTTATTTAATTGTAGTCTAAATTATATAAAATTACGTGTTTTTGGTTGTCTTCGTTTTCCATGGCTTGTCCCTTATACTAATAATAAACTTCAATCAAAATCTCAACCTTGTTTCTTTATTGGATATATCAATACACAAAGTGCCTATCTTTGTTTTTATATCACCCTTACAAAAGACCTATACATCCCGTTATGTTCAGTTTGTAGAAAACATGCTTCTTTGCTCCACCGAAAATGTCCATGCCAACCTAAACTTCCCTATGTCAAATTCAAATTCTATTACTCTTGATATCCAAAATCTACACCAATCATCGCCACCTAATATTCCCTTAAATAATCAAATCTCACCTATCCATATAACCCTTCTATCATTACATAATCAAATCACAGCTACCCTAATAATCCCTCCATTAATAAATAATCAAATCCTGCCTATCCTAGTAAGGTCTCCACCAATATATAATGAAATCCCAACTATCCAAATAACCCCTCCATCTTTAAATCATGAAATGTCACCTATCCCAATAATCCCTCCACCATTAAATGATCAAATCCCACCATCACCCAATCCTCAAACCAATCCTTCGAATTCAAATCAAATACCATCATCCCCAACTAAGATACAAACTAAACATCCAATTCAAATTCCTCACTCCAATCACCACATATTTTGAATGTCTCAAGATTGCAACTTGCACACTTCCTTTTCCAACACTCATTTCCTTGTTGAAGAACCACAACCACAATCCACCCACCTCATGGTTACATGCTCCAAAAATGGAATCTTTAAACCAAAACAATTATATACAACAACTAAATTCCTGATACCAGAACTAGTTGAAGAAAATCTTCTATCTTTGAAGAATTCATAGCACTCATGGCAAATGAGACTTGACATTGGTCCCAAAACAACATCACTTGAACAACATTGGCAACGAATGGGTATATTGTATCAAGAATAATATGGATGTCATCGTTGCTCATTACAAAGCTCGTTTAGTGGCCAAAGGCTTTCACCAACGTTAAGGAATTGACTACAAGGACACATTTAGCTCAATCATGAAACCACAAACAATAAAGCTGGCTTTTTGTGTGGCTCTCTTAAAAGGTTGGCACTTGAGCCAAATGGATGTCAACAACACTTTTTGATTTTTTCCCTTTTCTTGATGAAGTTCTCTCCTTCACGCTTTTAAAAATATTAGATATTAAAGGTATTAAGGTCCACCTCCTCACAAATACCCTCTGACAACAACTCGATCTTATCTACATATTATTCCCAGCTTTCGGATACAAAAACACCATGAATATATATAATATATATATATATATATATATTATTTGTTCTTAAAATATACCAGGTGAGAGGGGAAAATGTTCGCCATCATTAAATGGATGATTAAAATCAGATTTTAGTAAAATAATGTTGACCATCCATTCATGGTTACATGGCCAAGATTAACATTCACTTAAGTTGTCAAGCAAACTAAGTTAGAACCTTTTTTTTGTGCATGTGTGATTTTATGGTTTCACTATGTTGTTTATTTATATTTTTCATGGTAGTATGTTATATTTATTTGCAATATGTTTATATATGCGTGTATATTACCCCCATTGTTGGTTGATACACCAATGAAAGCCTTTTTTCTTAAAAGGTATAAAGCATTAGATATTTGCATAACTCTTGGTGCCTTGATTATATGTCTTTTTTCCCGTTTTTCCTCCTTCCCTCTGGTTTGCAGGTAATGTGTTACAGTCAGCATTTTGGTATGGACTCATTGTCCATTTCAGGATTTATCCTATAATTTACTCTATTCCTATAATCCTGGTTCTTGATCCAAACTTCTTCCCATCTGATCAGAAACCTGTCCTAAGGAACTGGAATGCTGTTCAGGGAGAGAGACCCAAAGATGGGAATGGCTGGCATAATTTACACAATTTATTTAGAAACATATTCACAAGGAACAGGTTGCTATTTGGACTGGTCTCAGGATTGGTTTTCCTCCTTTGTACCGGTCTTTTCTTCTGTTTGTATGAATGGGAATTCCTACATGAGGCGCTGTTGTACCATCTTACTCGAACAGATCCAAGGCATAACTTCTCCATCTATTTCTATCACATATATCTTCATTATGGGCATGATACTTCAGTGATGGAAAAGCTTATCTCCTTTTTGCCCCAGTTTTTGGTTCAGCTGGTTCTTATCTTCTATTTTGCACAGGATTTTCCATTTTGCTTTTTTGTGCAGACTGTGGCATTTGTGGCATTCAATAAGGTTTGTCAAGTAATAAAGGCAGATGCTTAAATTTCTGATCGTGCTACTTATTTACATTTAATTAAAGTTCTTATACAGACTTCAGGAAATGAGATTTTTTATTTCAAGAATAATCTTATCTGTGTTGGAGTCCTTTTCGGTAATGGCCACTTTAAATCAACATGTTTCCTTATGTTGTAGTGGATCTGATTTCTGTATATTTTGCAGGTAATTACAGCACAGTATTTTGTTTGGTTTTTTTGCTTGTTGCCTCTTATACTTCCTTGGAGTAAAATGAAACTCAGATGGGAAGGATTATCTTGCATTCTTTTGTGGATTGGGGCTCAGACCCATTGGTTGATGTGGGGATACCTGCTTGAGTTCAAGGGTAAAAATGTCTTCTTACAGCTTTGGGTGGCAGGCTTACTGTTTTTGGCCGCCAACATATTCGTCATTGTCATGATTATTCATCACCATAAATATGCTTCAGTTTTCAAAGCTTCAGATGCTAACTCCAAGAATGTAGCTAAGCTTAAGTGAGTGACCCTAACTCTTGGTGAATGATTTTCAATTTTTATACTTATGCTCATTATCTACTGTCCTACCGTGCTTCTATTTTGGGAGGTTAACAGTGCAAGTTCATGAATGCAGTAGAATTTGAGAACCAAAAATCATGTCAAAATTCGTGGATCCTTACATATTTTAAAAACTTCTTTAGGCTTCAAGCTCTCCTAAGCTCAACATTTTTAAGGTACCATTGAGGAGGACATATACATGTGTCAACCTCCTAGTTTCGTCCACCCTCAATTCCCTAATCATGTCTACAAGCTTTGCAAAAGACTCTATGGCCTCAAGCAAGCCCCTTGGGCTTGGTTTCATGCATTAAAACAATTTCTATTGAGTTTTGGCTTCACAAATTCAAAGTTTGACAAGTCACTATTCATTTACAATAGTGGCTAGGTCATAACATCCTTTTCTATGTTGATGATCTCTTACTTACATGTAATGATTTGAAATTACTCACTTCTTTCAAGTGCTCTCTTACAAACAAGTTCTTTCTTAAAGACCTTGTATTTAGTGGATAATTAGCTTCTATACTACTTATTATTAGATGTTGCAAATTTGCAATTGACGTATTTTAGATGCAGAGAAATGGATGTGTTGCTGCAGTGCTACTTTTTGATAAATTCTATGAATGGCCTATTTATTGGACGTTGTTGATGTGTTCGTTGAGAAAAAATTGAAATGGATGCGATTTTGAGGTTCTGTTTGCCGGGGCTAAGACATGCAAATGGATGCGAGGTTTAGTTGCGTTGATTGATGTAATCTTGGTTTTTTTTATTATGATTGTTATATTACATATCCTGTATTTTGCCAACACTTCTAATTCTATTGCAAGTGATTAATGCAAGATGAATTTCATTTTACCTAACTATCAGCTCTAATTATGTATTTTAGAATTCTAATTTATGCCATTGAATTTCTGATAGTATTGCTGTCACATTGATTGTTTCTTCTATGATTTGTGAAACTTTTGGTTTTTATTGTGCTTGCTTTGAGTATTATTTTTTTTTATTCAATTCCTATGCATATTCAGTTCCTATTTTATTCAGTTAATTATTTTAAATTTTAATGTATATTTGAAATGTGCTTTTATATTTTAAAAGATTCATATTAATTTTTTTTTATTTCAATTGACTTTTAAAATCGGTTGTTACATAACCGATTTTAAAAGTCTTAACTTTTAAGATCGGTTAAAATCATAACCGATCTTAAAAGTCAAGACTTTCAAGATCGGTTATATAACAACCGATTTTAAAAGTCAAGACTTTTAAGATCGGTTATAAATCAACCGATCTTAAAAGTCTACTTTTAAAATCGGTTGATAACCGATCTTAAAAGTCTACCTTTTCAAAATCGGCTCTTTTAAGATCGGTTCCATAACCGATTTTAAAAGTCCAAAATAACCGATTTTAAAAGCCTTTTTTCCACTAGTGAAAT